CCTATCATACATCCCAGAAGACATCTGGCAAGGCTCATGTGGGTGGAGGCCAGGAACACGACTGTGCACCTGCAGTGACCAGGATGGTCCCCCCAGAGCATGGCAGCTCAAGTCCACTGTGCTGGGAGCCCCTGTGCCTGGGGAAGGAAGACTGGCTCAGGACCCATTCACCTGCCCCTACTATGCACATGTGAGCAGTTTTCTCCCTGAGAAGCAGCCAGATAAGGCTAGATAGTTGGACCCTCTTCACACAAGGGAGCTCCCAGCTGCCCAGCCCTCTCTTCATCCTTCCTAAATAACCTAAGCGTGTGGCGTGTGGTGATGATCCACATTTTCCCTTTTCAACATAAAAATTAGTACTCAAAAGGACAAGTTCACAATTCCCTTACACAGAAGCTACAGGTGAATACGCCAGAGAACTTAACAGCAAATAGTGAAGAAGACACTGCCCATGACTTCAAAGCCCATGACTGCCCTGACGTGGAAATCTGAAAGTACAGGCTAGTATCACCATGCTTCAGGGATGCAGGACGATTGCAAGACTGGGAAGATGGGGCAGGCAGTGTCATAACCAACCTGTATCTGGGCAGAATCCTGTCATACACAACTTTCACACATACCCTCACTCTGATACCCTCCATCTCCCAATGTGCAGAAGGGAAAAATGGATTAAACAGACCTAAAACCTCTGCCTCATATTTCTTATGCAGTTCATCATTTTGTATTTGCATTTCATTGTATAGAAACTTTTACATCTCGCCCCTGACCTCACACATGGAACCCACCCAAAATTTATTTACTCCTTAGAAGAGCCTCTCCTGGAAGGATGTGTAGATGCAGAAGTTCAGAGGAGCTACGCACTCATACTCAGCTCATCACTCAAACAGGACATAAGAGAAAACCAGAACTCCCACTACATGTTCAACCCTGAGGTCATACTGGTCCCTTGGGCAGATACCAGGAGGCCACCCTACTCTTCTTGCCAGCCTTTGATGTCCTTCTAGCCTTCTATGCCTCCTTAAAATGGACTGAGCATGGAGGGGAAGTACACCCACACACACCCAGGCATGGCTGCCACCAACAAAGCAGCAAACACATGGACAGCTCAGGGCTAGGCAAACGAGTAGCAGCATGAACAACAAGTGACTTAAATGACCTAGTGACTTAGGGACCTGTATGAGTCAGGCCAGCCTAAGTGGATGCCCACCCATCCCAGAGACTGTGACATCATAGTAAACGACTGTCTAGCCTCTATCCCTGGGTCCCTACATAAAGCCCCTAATCTCGGTAGTTTCCTAGGTGACAGGGACATCAATGGGGACCAGTCACCATTAACCTCAAGACATGATAAGCAGTTAAAACTTGCGACCACCTTACCCATCCTCTGTGAAGAAGAGAGGGGCCAGAGTTAACAATAATCACGCCTGCATAAGGACAGGGTTGAGAAAGTTCCTGGGCTGATGATCATATTCACTATCTGGGAGAGTGGTGCCCCACTACACAGGGACAGAAACTCCTGAACTTAGGACCTCCAGACCTGGCCCTCCAGGCCATGTCCTATGGCTATACCCTTCACCACATCCTTTATATGTTACCAGCAAAGGTAACAATGTTTCCCTGGGTCTTGTGAACCCCCCAGCAAATGATCACACCTGAGGACCCAAGGGCCTCCCAGTGTCTACAGCTCCGTCAGGCAGGGAGGGGCCCACAAGCTAGCAGACCCCTGGGGTTCCCTGCTCCAGGAAAGCAATGAACACAATCTCTCTTGCTGATTAACAAGGGTACTAATGATGGGACAGGGAGGGGCTCGAGGCTAGGGGGACAGGAGCTACATTTAAGAAGCCTGAAACTGCAGATCAGAGTACAAAGTCCCTTCCACATATGACTCTGAAATGGTGGATGAGGTAAATCACACCCAGGTGCTGGGTTAGAGGAGGCTTCAGGGCTCCTCTGGGCTTGACCTTCTGTTGGAGGGAGTTACCCAAGCTCAGGGCAACACACCCCTTGAGGGAGGACTGCCCTGTCCCTTCACCATCTCTTGAGAAATAAAATAAGTATGAGCCTGGAATGTCTTCCTTCTTTTTCAAAGAAAAACAAAACAATCCCAAATAGGCATTCCAGAGACAACCTTGCCCTTCTCTAACCACAAGTCTCTCCTCTGAGACCCAGGAGGTGCTGGGAAGAAATTGCTAGAAGCAGCCACAGGACTGAAAACACTTACTCACCAAACCTACTATGAGCTAAACAGGGCTATGCCTGAGCCTCCCAGGCCAGCCCCACAGCACAACTCTCAGGCGGGAGCACTGACTTCTGGCAGTCAGCTGCCTGCTATAAAAAGAGCGACTGCTAACTTGGGTGATTTCACACATACCAACTCAAGTTTCCACAACGTGCAGCTTCAAGTTATGTCCTCCCCCAACAGCCTGTGCCAATAGTTGATAAACATTTCCTCCCAAAATAACTTTATGGAAGCTACAGCCAACTCTAAAAGGAAATTTCAGTTGGGCTTGAACCATCTAAGAAGAGCTAATTATAGGCTGTGTCCCCATGTAGTACTAACCCTGTCCCCAAGGGAGGGGGCAGATTAGCAGAAACCCACTTACCTTTTGGTGTCATAGTCTATCAAAACATAATTCTCCATAGCAAGCTTAAGATCCGGGATTTCTTCACAAACCCATCTGAAACAGAAAAGCAGAAACAGCAATGAACGTAACTACTCAGTCTCGGATTTCTACATTCACTTTTCTTTTTTTTTTTTTTTT